GCTTGGGGTCCTGACTCGCACTAGCTGCTGCGCGCAATCTATCACTGCCCCATTAGGGTCAACCAATCCATACCAATAATCACCTTGTTCCCACGCAATGGGATGGGAACCAAGTCTACCAGGTAACGCTCCTCAAACAGTCGCAGAACACAATCTCGAAACACCATCGATGCTCGCACCGATCGATCGTCAGCAATCTCTACCTCTAACGGGCAATCTAACTCGCCTGAAGTCTCATGAAATCTCTTGCTAAGAGCAAGAGAAACGAACGATCGGGATGCACCCGAGTCGAACAATACCTGAACCGGAATGCCGTTCACATGGAACGATCCTAATACACATGTATACACACGGAGCACATATCAATATCATAACAACATAACACAAAAGATAGAAAGAAAGAATCATACCCGTCACCACATCGGGCGCGGCGCGTGCCTCCTCGGCAGTCAACTGAAATGCCCGACTCCTCACTACTGGAGCCTCTGCCTTGCCCTGCCGACCATCCGTGATCCGCAGGGTCGCTGGAGCCGGCGCCTTCACTGGCGCTGCAACTGACAACTGGGGCAATTGGCCTTCTTGTGGCCCCTCTGGTTGCAGTGAAAACACAGCAACTCGGATGTCTGAATAGCTGAAACTGGAGCAGTACAATCCCTGCTAAAGTGCCCTGTCTTGCCGCACTTGTAGCAGCCTCCTGATCCCATCCTACATATCCCCACGTGCGTCCTGCCGCATTTCCCGCAGCGGCTCGATCCTGAATGACCTTTCGGTCTACCGTCTGATCCCTTGGGCTTCTTCCCGAAGCCCCTCCTGCCTGACCGTCCTCTAGTTTCCGTTTCCGGATGTGCTCCAAATCTATCTCTCTCTCCCTAGCCCTGGCAATCATAGAGTCCAGGGTAGGGCAAGCCGAAAAGCTAACATGCTCCCGGATGTCAGCTCGTAGCATATCATGGTAACGAGTCCTCCTCATATCCTCGTCACCGGCATACTGGGGCACCAATAAAGCCCTCTCCGGAACTTGGCGGTGATCTCCGCCACAGTCTCCGTCGTCTGCCTCATGTCTAGAAACTCCCTGGCCAGCTGCTGAAGCTCGACCGCCGGTGCAAACTCCGCCCTGAACCTAGTCACAAAGTCCGACCAGGTCATTGCCTCGATAGCCGAGGCTCCCAACGAGTCACCCACTGACTCCCACCAATCCCGGGCTCGGTCCCGTAAACACCCTGCTGCGTACCTCACCTTCGACCCCTCGGGGCAGAAGCTAGTCAACTGGGCAGACTCGATATCCGCAATCCACCGCCTGGCGACAATGGGGTCCTTCACCCCATGGAAATCCGGCGCACCACTGCCCCTGAAGTCCTTGAAGGACAGTGTGCGAGATCCTGACTGGCTAGAGGCTAAATCGCTCCTGAATGCCCGTAGGCGATCCTCCATCAACTCCATAATCCCTTCCTTGATCGACCCAAAGAGGATGGGGGTCGACTCAAGGATGCCCCTGGTGATCTCCGACGTGATGAACTCACGTAGCCTCTCATCAATCGGCTCGGTGCCTGATCCCGAACCTGACCCCTCTCCTGACCCGCCATCTGTCGGTCTCGGTCGAAGTACCACCATTCTGCAAAACATCATAATAATCATTAGTGATACTGCTACTTTCTGAGGGATCTCAACTACTTACAGGTTCCTTGGTCTCGTCTTGGCCTTCCTCGGCTAGGGTACGGATCCTCTGCTTTCAGTAGTACGGGCCCATACTACCTTCCACATCTATCCGTACCTTCTCCGAGAAATTCCTCGACTTCACCAGATCCCCTTTACTACTGCTACTCCCTGCTATTCTCATCCTAGGCTTGCCCTAGGGAAAACTCAAGTTCAACACGATGGTCCTCAGCTGCTGTAGGTCTCCTCATAATGCCAGTTAGCCACCACCTAAACACCATCACATGTGATGAGGATTAGAAATCCTTCAAGTAAAAGATCCGTCCCTACAACGGTTGGACTCAAACAAGAGCTGCGCAATAGGGCCAGTTCCAGTACTTTGGGATTATTCAAACCTGATTACATGTGGTGTGACGTGTTCACCTAGTGGCTAACTCCCATTACTCAGAACCCCACCAAGCACGAAGCAAGCAGCATTCGGTTAAGGGAAACAGACTCAAGCCAAACTATTCTTATAACAAGAAACGGCACTAGCATAAGATGCTAAGCTCATACTATCAGGCATAACCTAAACAGGCTATCCTACTGCTGTCTACTCCATTCTAGCATGCAATACTCATAAAGCTGTAACACATAAGCAGGCACATAAGGCATCACTCCTAGATCCTTAGCCCTATTCTAGCATGCGGTTCTACGTAAGCTGATAAACATAACATAAACTTGTATGGGTACTATGGGGAATACTTACTTGAGCTCGGCCGGTCGCGCACGTCACACACTTCGCTCTTTCTTATGACTCCTTTCCGAGTTTTTAGAGAACATTTTCTTTTGGAAAATCTTTCAATCCCTCGATTTGAGTTCAGACACTCCCGAAGGCGTGTCCGAATCCCTCAAACCAGGGCTCTGATACCAACTTGTAACGACCCAATTTTCATGTCCAAAAATTTCATTTTTTTAAAATATTACTTTAGAAAACATTAATAAATAAAAACATTGTTTGATCACACCATAACACATCGCAACCATGTTTTAAAAGTCAAACCATACATCCCATCAAATATCAGAGTACAATCCCAGTGAATCTCGTAAATGCGGAAACCGAAGAGTGTGTGTGTGACATGCTGCTACCGTGCCGGCTCCTTTCCCCTAGCTGAGGAGGTACCTGAAACCAAAACTGAAACCGTAAGCACAAAGCTTAGTGAGCTCCCCCATAATACCCCATACCATACAAGCATTAACAATAACATGCAATTAGGAGATACGGGCCCCGCCCACACTCGTGAAGATACGGGCCCCGCCCACACCTCACTTTCTGAGAGATACGGGCCCCGCCCACACTCGTGAAGATACGGGCCCGCCCACACTTCGCTACCTGGGAGATACGGGCCTAGCCCACACTCCATTCTCGGAGAGATACGGGCCCGCCCACACCAACCGTCAACACATATCATACAAGTATCGCACAGACAACAAGTGTAAACAGTTCTATCATACTGGTATATATCACAATCAACTCGACTAATAGATACGGGCTCGGCCCACACTATAATACTAACGTCTCATCTATACGGGCCGACCTTGGTGCCTTAGACCCGTTACTACTGAAGGAAACTCACCTCGAAATAGCTGCTGGTCTGTGTGGGAATTGATCACCTACTACGGCTGCTGCTGCTCCGGAAACTCCCCGGCTGTAATTCCCACAATATACTTAATCATACACTGCTAACTGCCTTTGGGTAAAAAGACCATTTTACCCCTGGTCTAGCCCTAAGTCAAATCGAAGTCAACTTTTAGTTGACCCACTCGCCGAGTGGATCTCCACTCGCCGAGTCCCTAGCAAACTATTGTCCTGGGTCCCTGATTCTACTCGTCGAGTTGGGCTATGACTCGACGAGTTCATCTTCTAAACTGTCATTCAACTCCTTCATCCTACTCGCCGAGTTGTATGAACAACTCGTCGAGTTCATCTTCATCCGAAGAACACATATGCTAAGACTCGCCGAGTTGTATGAACAACTCGCCGAGTCTGTTCTTGATCTATGAAGATTGCCTTGGACTCGCCGAGTCAGGGCATTGACTCGCCGAGTCCTATCATGAGTGAGTCCAGCTTTCAACTCACCGAGTCACCCCCTGTGACTCACGGCTCAACTCGATACGTCTAAAAGGGACCAATTCGGTGACTCGCGAGCCGACTCGCCGAGTCACATGAACGACTCGCCGAGTCGTCGCCATGCATCCACTAGATACACCGATTTGTTTGATTTCAGTCCATGCCATTCATAGATCTGGGCTTCTAAGACACGAATCATACGTAAAGTTTCCAACTTTACGTGTGGATCTTCACTAATATGGATTTTAGGGTCCAAAATGCCTCAAAAAGGGTAGATCTAGGATGAACAAGCCACATGGGTCCATAAAGCTAACAGATCTGAGCTCTTGGAGCTCAATCTTGCCTAGATCTAAAGGCCAACCCACTTATTACGAAACATTAAGCACCAACAAGCTTGGGGAATGGCTCAAGAGTGTCTTAAATGAAATCTTAAGCATAGAAACAGGGGGAAAACGAGATATACCTCAATGAAACCGCTGAAAAACACAATGATGCTTGGATGGCTCTCCTTCCTCTTGATCTCTTTCCCCTTCTTGCCTCAAAACCTTCAAGAATCCACACAAGAGCCTCAAATTCACAAGAAACAAGCTTAGGACGAGTTAGGATGAGGGTTGGGAGCTCTGGGGGTGAATGGGGGCTGGCAAGAGGCAGATATGAGGTTTAAATAGGGTGCAAACCCCTGAAACTTAGGGTTTCATCCAACAGCGGTGACTCGCCGAGTCCAGGATATGGACTCGCCGAGTCGCCAACTTAAACGTGTCCTGGGTCTCGTCCCTACTCGGCGAGTCGGACCTTGTGACTCGCCGAGTCCAAGGCTAAAATAGGGCAATACTCAAATAAAATTCACATACCGGAAACCAGGTGCTACACTTTAATGATGTGTGAACTATGACAAGCACTATTTTATGATACACAAAAGTGTGTGCCCTAAAAATAATGTCATCTCTCCAAAAATTAGAAGGATTTAGGGACGCATCTTTACGCGCCCTAAAATAAGTGTCACATTGAAAAAAAACACAGAGGGCACAGAACATAAAATGGGCGTCGTGTAACCATGTCGCTTTATATTTTCTTAATGAAACACGAGGTCTCTTCTTTGGGGGGAAATGAAATTCTGAAAAGTTTGAAAGGCCTGCCGTGTTATTACCTTCTTTCCAACGTTCTTCTCTCTCTTAGTCAAATACCCCAAAAAACCTTAATATAGTCATCACCAAATCTCCGATCTCCCACCAACAAAATGTCTCCTACCGATGTCTCCACCTATTCTCTGCCCTCACAGTACTTCTCTCAATTAAAAATGCAAAAACCCTCAATCAGATAACCATGGCTACTTCTCCCTTCCTTATCTTCTCATAAACCCCAAATTTATTTAATTGTAAATCAATTGCGAATCCGACCCGAAGACCCGTACTTCGAGCTCACTCTCCTTCCGGAAGATTCTACACCTCGTCTTCGTCAAACTCGTTTGCTTCCTCCACCTCCATCTTCTCGCCGAGCTCGTCGTCGTTCTTTCAGAACCGATCTACGTCACCTACGCGTGTCAACGTATACAGATCATCTCCATCGGCATCGAATATACGATTTTCACTTGTCAATCGTCAAATTTCTCCGAGTCGTTCGATCTCTGTAATTCCGAGGAGTAATAATAGTAATCAAGCGTTGAAAAAGAAGATGGATAAACCGAGGAGGATGTGTATGTATTTGCCTACTTCGCTTCCAGGTTCGTTTAGGTGCAGCTTGCATAAGACCTCTAACAGAAATCACACTCTGGTCTCGTATTCTAAATACATTTCCATTATATATATATATATATATATATATATATATATATATATGTATATATATATATATATGTATTTATATATATATATATATATATATATATATATATATACAGTTTAGTGTTTGATTCTAGTGTAAAGATGATTTATCTTCTATCTTTTACAGGCTATATGATCCTCGTATACCCGAGTTAGAAATTTTTTTGCACAAGCATTTGTTCTTCTTCTAACAAATTCTCTGATGCATTTCATGAAGATTATGTAGGCAAGTTGTTCAATGAAATGCCAGGAGACGAGTTTTGGTCTGAAATAAAAGCCATCAGATGGTATCATGTTTCTGTTGACCCACCCTTTACCGGACTTCCATGGTTAGTGCTAGATAATACATGTACACACATAATACATGTACATAGATGGTATCTTGTTTGGTTTTCCCCTTGTTTTTTTAGTTTGCAATTGTACACACCATATAGCTATACATACATGCATATGTATACATACATATATGGATATAAATACATGTATGTATGCATATAGATACATGTATATATGCATCTATGTGTGCCTCCTTGTCATTTTTTGGCTATTTCAAAAAAAAAAGGATATATCATAGACATGATCAAACTTGCTTGATGAATGCAGTTCTCAAATGTAGGCTCTCTTGAACTTCATGGATTTGCTAGAAACAGCTTATGGAGTGTTGACAATAACCCCCTCCCTTCCCCACTAATCCCACAAATAGAATTTTCATTGACTTGATCTTGAATTCCACTGAAGATGATTTGAAGACATATCCTCACAAGTGACCTTAATTGCACCCCTTTTTGTCTACTAAACATTCTTATGCTATTTACAAGTCTTTTAATTGCTTCAATTCAAACTAGATTTTGTTCTTTTGTAGCTTTGAATATCGATTGAGGGTTAGTATTGGACCTGTTGGAGACTTGCTATTAACATCTCGTGTCAGAAATACAAACACGGATGGAAAACCATTATATTTCACTATTGCATATAAAACCTATTTTTCCATTTCAAATATAAGGTATTAAGTTTTTTTGTTCTTTTCCATGTATATATTACAGTGATTATGGTAAGGAATCTACTAAGTAAAACAACTCATGTCTGTTTATGTTGTTGGTATATAGGGACAAGTTTATAACTTTTTTTTATTTGTTATTGTTGTTAAATGTTGATATACAGTGACTTGCATACAGTTTAATCCTATTGATGATAGATACTTCATTAGTGGATCTATAGATGCAAAACTTCACATATTGAGTATTCCTAATAGACAAGTTGCTAATTGGAATGATTTGCATGAAATGGTCACTGTTGCTTGCTATACACCAGATGGTCAGGTTGTCACCCGTACATTATTATATATTTCTATTTTTTTCAAAGTTTAATAAAAAATATTAAAATAATCAATTAAAGAAATAACATATTAGTAGGCCTCATGCATATACATATAGTTGGTAGCAGATAATGGAAAGTCACATGCATGTGTGTGAATTTCAGTAACAATTTAAATTATAAACTAAAGTTATAGAACTTATTTATAACAATTATGGACCTCAAAGATAAACTAAAGTTATAGATATTATAGAACTTATTTATAAAATTCTATTTCTTGAAACAATTGTACATTTCCTTTATGGTCTGGTAGTTTCAACTTTTTACTTTTAATGAATTACATCTCTAAAAATTGTGGTCTAGATGCTATTTTGGCTACTGAAATTAAGCACAAGGTACAACTAACATTCAAGATTCTTATTTCAGATCAGATCACAAATTCACAATATATTTATGTGTCTTTATTATACATACATATAAGGAAGGTAGATCCGACTTGGGACATGGAGGCTGATGAAGGAGACAATTACACACATATTCCAGTAAGAAACAAAGTTGGATGATTATTTGTTAGTTTTATAGGAATGTATAACCTATGTTAGCTATGTATTATTTTTGTTTAATATTTGAATGATTATTTGTATGACATATTATAATTTGTGCAATTTATTTTATTTTTTGTCTATGAAATTTTATTTTATATTATGAAATGGATTGTATTTTTTGTATATGGTATTTTATTTCTATTATGAGACATTAAATGCAAATTTAATTTAAAAATTAATAAATATATAAATATATATATTTTTAAACATTTAAATTTACGATACGCAAAAATATGTGTCATCTTTGTTTATGACATGGCCTTTCTTGACAGGGATTTTAATGATACGCATTGCGTGTCATAGATGCACGTCATGAATGCGCGTCGTCTATAGACGACGCGCAAAAGCATGTTGTCTCTCGTTATGACAGGGCCTTCCTTGACACCCATTTGCACGTCGTCTGAGCGTTTTACGACACACATTGCACGTCGTTTGAGCGTTTTAAGACACACATTGTGCGTCGTAAAAGGCTGTTTTTCTAGTAGTGTTAGGAAATCTGGGACGATCTGTGTGAAAAGTATGGGTAGATGTGGCAAGTAGTATTGGCCCGTACTGCTGAAAGAAGAGGATTCGTACTCGAAACAGGGAGAATTCCAGAGGTTCTAAGTAGCAGATTGGGAGGTGATAACATGGTTTTAGTACCAAGATTCGTAGCAGATTAAGAGGTGATAACATGATTCGTGGTGGTTAGTGCTTCAGAGTTTACCAGTTACCCCGTTATGATTGATTAGACTGAGAATAGATATGATGGAGTGTGGGGCCAGAGGGCTATGTTAAACGAGTTTCTTTAGAGTATACCTTGAGAAGGTAATTGAGTTAGTTTTCGAGAGATTTTATGGGTGCAATGCTAGTTGGAGTCGCAAGACTCAGGGATGAGTAGAGATGATGCTTATGAAGGATCGTGGTCTGAGTTGAGTAATCGAACAATAGATGAGACGTTACCTTCTGTGACAAGAGTTGCACTGTCCCCATTTCCTGGGAGAAGCAAAAGAGATAACGAGCTTCTGGTTTTAGAGTTTGGAGGTAAACCCCGTAGGGTAGCATAAGGTTGCAACCTTTTCACTAAAGTATTTGGGCAATATGTTTGCTGCGAGGTATTTTCTTATACCATGAGAGATTCATTAGTGGGACTAAGATGGAAGAGAACAAGGAGGTGCCTTATTAAGGGAGGCATACTTTTAGCAGCAGTTCCAAGTGATTAAGAGGAGTATATCGGGGCAGTGACCCTCGCCCCGATTCTCAAGTATTGATTTTGATATAAGATTTTTCTTGATTTCAAGGTGTACTCGACGAGTTGTTGCTTTACTCGTCGAGTAGTAGCGGGTTGGTCTACGTGTTTAAGTGACCTACTCGCTGAGTCCAAGAAGGGACTCGACGAGTAGGAGCTTGCGGATGAAACCCTAATTTCTAGGGTTTTGCATCCTACGTAAAGGATCATTGGCCTTCCCAACCTCCCCTTTACAGACTCTTGTCGTTCCAAAACCCTAATTCATGTGTGTGTATGCTATATTGGTATGTTTAGACTTGGAAGAAGGATTTTGGTGAGAAAAGATTGGGGAACAAGTGATTAGAAACAAGGAAATCGTGGGAATCAGAGATCTATTTCAGTGGGCATCCTTTTGAAGGTATTAAGTTGTGATATTGGCCTCATTTCATCTTAGATCTCATTTGGATGGATTTTTGGAAGCTTTTCTTGTGTTTGAGCTAAGATCTGAAGTTCCAACTTCAGATCTGAGTTCTCGGCGAGTCGGCTAGGATTTTCCCAACCTTTGGACACGTATGAACTTGGCAAGTTACAAGGGAAACTCGACAAGTCGACCAAGGAGTTTATGACTGCAAACTTTAGGAACTCGACGAGTCACTCTAGTGACTTGGCGAGTTGGCGAGGAACTCGGTGAGTAGCTGAGGGTACCCGACGAGTTGAGGTCAACATGGACTGTTGACCTTGACCGATGACTTTGACTTTGACCAAGGGTTGACCAGTATACTTTTGGGGACATTTTTATGAAAACTGGAAATTTACATGTATGGTTCTATGGTGAATATAGGTGGTGGAGTTTGAGCCGACAATCCGAGAGCTTGAGTTTATCTTCGAGTCGACAGTGTGAGGTGAGTTATCCTCACTATACTAAGGGGTCTAAGGCACCAAGGCTAGACCTTTGGATATGAATTCCTAGTAGTTGGTAGTATGTTGAGTACGAGTTAGTGTTGTAGGTTAGTTGCTATGCCAGTTAGGTAGATCGGTAGGACTACCTCTAGTATTATGTGATTATTTGTATGTGCATTAGTTATATTATATGTCAACATATTATGTAGGATAGGTTGAGGTGATACTGCTCTGTGCGATAACCAACAAAACCTGGAGTATTCCAGATACGAGCTGCGGGAGACTCGTACTATGGGCTCGGTGTTAATCCAACTGTGAGTTTTAGGCCCGGAAGGCAATACAGACTCACACTATGGGCCCAGGGAGTAATCCAGTCTGTAACGATGTGGACTCAGTATATGTTGTTATTTGTATATGTATTTTGTGTAGTGTATCAGTATTTTGGGGGAACTCACTTAGCTATCGGAGTTACAGTTTCAGTTTATTGTTTCAGGTACATCAGGGGATCGCGGCAAGGTGAAGGCGTGATCGTACAGCTCCTCATGTTTTGTTTATGTTTCTAGGGAAAACTCTGATATAGAGAATTTTGAAAACAAATCTGTAATAAGTTTTGGTTTTAAATGTTTTGAAAAGTTTTAAAATGGCTTCAAATTTTTGGGTGTTACACTCGTTGTCTACGTTGTGTATCGACCGTGAGAGTCAAGTCTATAGTTTCTATGATGATCCACATGCTGGAATGTTGGAAGAGGGATCAAAGATGAGGTGTATGATATTTCATTAATCCTGGATTTAGAGCCAAGACTAATTTGGGTAGTTGGGATACCCGGTGATGTGTCGGTACAAGGTTTCAAGATGGCTAGAGGCAGTCACGTAGGGAGGATTTCGAGGATTTCATATGAGATTCGGGATATTTGGAGTGGCTTGGTCTTTATCAAGAAGATCATCGAGTGTTACGTGGTACGATTCCAAGAGTCAAGTGTGATGTACCTGGTGAAACAGTCTATGGAGTAGACTGTTGGTATGCTAATTGGTGATGGTTCGAACCCTGAGTAGGGGAGAACTGGGTATTCTATTAAGAGGATCAACGATCCGTTCAAGCACGGTTACAGAACTGGTTATGGAGATCTGTGGTGCGGACACATGAGACCTGGGTTATTGGTAGATGAGACGAGGTGCAAGGAGAGATGATGTGTGTATGTGCTTAAGAAAGGATGTGTGAATCCACGACAGGTGGCCATTGGTCATAGAATTTATTGTGGCCAGGGATTTTTCGGGTTTGCAAATGTTGAGTTCGAGGCGGTTGGATCGTTGAGTTGAAGGTGCAATAGCTGAGATTTGCAGGTATAGGTATAGATTGGGATCTATACTCCACGAGGGGCAGCAGTTGATATGTCAACCAATTTCAGAGTCGGTATGAGCAGTTTTGTATGGGTGGTGATCAGTGAAGGATGGAGCTTCGGATTTTCATCAACGTCTTTTCAGTCGTTGATGATTCCTCCGTGTTTCAATTTGTGAGATGGGAGTATTTCTAGGTTTCGAGTTGCGTGAGTGTAAGATCAGTGGTTGAGGCAAGACATCGTGAGATGTTGTGATGGTGTACCGAGGTACCCGAGTATGATGTCCTCATTTTTTTTGTCATGTTGAGACTCAAGTTATGAGATGACGAGTGGAGTACCGAGTGACTTTTGTTCCAGTGGGAACCCATCAGTTAATTGTTGTTGGAGTAAGACTGTCTAAGGGTGTATCTGTGCTTAGAAAAGTGCCTTGCCTGTGCGAAATTACATCAAGAGTGGTGGTGCATAAGCTGGGTGGGTGTAAGCACCTATCTATGTTGAGCTACGGAGCATGAGTTGGTGAACTTAGTGTAGTGATGAATTGATGAAGAGATTATGGGGTGATAAGAGAGCAAGTGGATCCGAGTGGGAGTAATCACTTGGGACTAACAGGAAAAGCCATGGAGTGGGCCCATGGTGACACAGTGAGCGAGAGAGTGTTGTAAGACTATGGGGAGCGGTAGCATCCATTAGTCAGTAGGAGAGGGTATCGTGGTACTGTGGGGAGCCGTAGTATTCGCCAGTCAGCGAGAAAGTGTCGTGATAGTGCTGGGAGCCGTAGTACTCACTGGGTAGCGGGAGAGTGTTGTGATATTGCATGGAGCTGTAGTACTCACTAGTTGGCGAGAGGGTGCCGTGGTACTGCAGGGAGCCGTAGTATTCACTGGTTAGCGAGATAATATTGTGATACTACATGGAGTCATAGCATTCATGAGTTAGTGAGAGAGTGTCGTAAGTTTTCGGGGAGTCGTATCATTCATGAGTCAATAAAGGAGTGTGTTAAGACTACGGGGGGAACCGTAGCCCTCAGTAGTCGATAAGAGAGAATATTGTCCTCCGGGGAGTTGTAGTATTCACTAGTCAGAGTAATACGCAGAGGAGTTCTTAGGCTTGGGTAGCCTTACCACTTGTGTCTTCAGGAACCTGGTTGCCGGACCAGGGGCAAGACTGGGGTCTCTGTGTCATTTGGGAATCGTTATATCCCGAGTAGAGGAGGGATTATCGTAATCGTAAGGAATTAGAGAGATGGTGTGTGCATAAATTTGCGAATCACGGGTATGGGTTGAGTATCAGATTGGAAATGAGTGGTTCCAATTCTGCTGTTGAATCAGACTCTCAAGTTGAGTTTGGGACAATTCGTGTATTGCGTAGACAAGATGAGGTTTCAGATTCGTAGTTGAGTTTCATTTTGAGGGGTATTGATCTCCATCTGATGTCTTAGACCGAATTGGGTCAGTCCCGTTGGTAAGGGAAGAACTGCGAGACGCATGGAACCAGTAGGTAGTAGATGACAGAGGTCGGAGGTGAAACGACTTCAAATGGGGTTGTAGTATTCGCTTGGGGAAAAAAACTTCTTGACTTGTGTGTCACGATAGGCTGAGATAGTTATTGTGAGAAGGAAGACGATAAGTCGTTTTATTAGGTGTTCAGTGGGTAACCTTTGGAGGTTCAACTATTGGGTCAGGAGTTGACCCGGTGCTCAGTGTTGGAAGGGATATTTGAGGGGAAGTTGGGGCTTATGATTAAGGGTGTCAGAGGATCGTTCCGAGCTAGCTTGATCGCTTTCTTATGTCTAAGGACAGAGTTTTGAGGATCATTCCTTCAGAAGAGTTCTGATAGCTGTTCAGGTGGTGGGTCCTTAGTGGGATATGACCTTTCTGTTCCTTTTGAGTTACATTCGGGGTCGATTAGAGAATCAGAATTAGTAGAGTATTCTTAGAGTTTGTTATTCGATGAGCGATTAACATGATGATTTTTTTTTGCGATGGTGGTCTGGCAGAGAGATAGACCACTAGAGTTTTCAAGTTCTGGAAAGACAGATCGAGTACCGCATCGGCAGAAGGGTCTGTCCTTCTTCGATGTCGGGAGTTCCTGTTGGGTTCTGGTGTCTTTGGAAGACATTGTTGTATGATATGAGGTCCTTTTGGTGGTGCTTCTCGGGTTATTAGGTTCAATCTATATGTTGATAAGGAGCGATTTCGAGGGCGAAATCTAATTTAAGTGGGGGAGAGTTGTAACATCCTATTTTGGATCGTCCGTGATTTAGGGTTTGTGGGCTGCAAACCGGGTGTGAGGAAGCTTCGGGGCTGCGAAGAGTTGCTAGAAGAGTAGGACTTCTTGTCACCTTTCCATGGATATGAAGTTCATTAGAAACAGAGTTATATCGAGGAAACTATGGAAGTTTGAAGTTTTGACAAGATAGGTCCCTTATTTGAGAAAGGTGACAGCTGAGTACGTTGGGCATACGTGTGTGTAGGCTTAGGGTACTCATGTGCTTGAATTTTAAGCGGAGCCACCTACTACGATTGGCATACCAGAGGGTACTGTAAAAATGTAATTTTTCAAAACAATTTTTCATTTCTTTAAAACATAATTTCATTCAAAACAACCATAAAAATCCAATGTAACATAGTCATAATACAAAACATGTCAAATCCCAAGATCAAATATATACCAATGCGCCTGCGTGTGTGTGTACGAGTCATGTCGGCACCTTCCCACGGTCCTCGCTAGTACCTGAAACACATAACACAACAACTGTAAGCATAAATGCTTAGTGAGTCCCCCAAAATACCACTTACACACATACGCCCTTCCAGGCCATGACCTTCCGGTCCATGTGTCTCAGGGGACTTCCGTCCTGACCCGGTAAACCTTCCGGTCCTACCTGTGTCGACCTTCCAGTCCATAACTCCCTGACCTTCCAGTCTACATCATAATGCCTTCTGGCCTATACATAATGCCTTCCGGACATATCAAGCATAGCATACATAACACATACCAAACAGGCAACTAATCGTATACAATGCGTATATCTTATAGCATACCAGACCTTCCGGTCACACATAGGTACCCTTCCACGTACAGTATAGTAAGAAGACTCACCTTGTATGATGTCTAAAGTCTCACGTGCTCGATATCTCTGAATCTCGTAAGCTCGACCTAGCCTCGCCTAATCACATCAAATAATCATTCTAAATCATTAACGGCTTTCAAGGCTATACTATATTCCTTTCTAAAATTCCACAGAAGGGTAAAAGACCATTTTACCCCTCCCTGACCCAAAAGTCCACATGTTGACTAAAACCCTAAAAGTCAACAAAAGTCTACAGTAAGCAGTACGCGGGGCGTACCAGCTCCTGTACGCGAGGCGTACTCTTGCACTCCAGAAATGGGGTACGCGACCCCCTACGTGACGCGTACTGGGATTACGCCCAGCGTAATGCCCAGTTTCTTTATTCAGCACATTCAGGTCTTAAACGATTGAGACTTGCATCCAAACTTCAGATCTGACTCCTCTAATATGTATTAATCCATAAAGTTGAAACCTTTAACCCTTTGCATGGCTGTAAAGGTCACTTTGTGCTCAAAACACCTTTCCTCTTTCCATAATGAGACTATAACTCATGCATGACACAAGATCCACATCCAAGACTCAATTTTTACGACTCCTCAACACATATTACACTAGAAAAGGTTAGATCTAAGCTTATGGAGACTCTTTACACATAAAGTCTCCAACTTTGAACCAAAAACCCTAAAAATGGTCCAACAAGCAAAACTTATGAAGAACAAGGAAAGCTTTGAGCTTTTTACCTCAGAAAGGATCTCCAACCACTGTAGAACTCGGATACACACTTGTTCTTCAACTTCTAGCTCCAACAATGGATCCTTCTTCTCCTTCTTCACCTTGAAAAGATAACTTCAAGCTCAAAAACACACACATAAGCTAAAGCATGAATCTCAGCTCTTCAATGAATCAGTCAAGGGTGTATGGTGGCTAGGGTAAAGGACTAGTTGTTCCTTTTATAGTGCAAGGCCAGAAATTAGAGTTTTGCATCTAGGCCGGTTACGCCGCACGAATCTCAGCTCTTCAATGAATCAGTCAAGGGTGTATGGTGGCTAGGGAAAAGGACTAGTTGTTCCTTTTATAGTGCAAGGCTAGAAATTAGGGTTTTGCATCTGGGTCGGTTACGCACGACGTAACCATGGGTACGCCCAGCGTACCCGGATAATCCGCGTGCAAATTAAGCGTGCAAGTACGCGCGGCGTACACCCCAGTACGCCCAGCGTACTCACCAATCCACTTTTCAACTTCAAGGGATTAATTTGCCAACTCTCTAAAATAGAAGGGTCATAAAGCTAACCTGGATTTCAGGCTGTTACAATTCCCCCCCACTAGAACCAGACTTCGCCCTCGAAGTCTCATGTTGTGAACAACTCCGGATGCTGCTCCCGCATCTCCGACTCTGGCTCCCAGGTCAGCTTGAACCCTCTTTGATGTTGCCATTGGACCTGAACCAGGGGCACTTCCTCGTTCCTCAGAACCTTGATCCTCCGATCCAAGATTGTGATCGGCTTCTCAGCATAATTCAGACTTGCGTCCACCTGGATATCCTCTAATGGTACCACTGTCGACTCATCGGCAATACACTTCCTCAGCTGCGACACGTGGAAGGTATCATGAATCTGGTCCAAATCCGCAGGTAGCTCCAAGCGATACGCTACCTTGCCTACCCTTACGATCACCCTAAACAGCCTAATAAACCGGGGTCCCATCTTGCCCCTCTTCCTGAATCGGATCACTCCTTTCCAAGGAGATACCTTCAGGAGCACGAAATCACCGACCTGAAA